GGCAAAGTAAACTTCACAAAATAAACCACTGATTCTTATGCCTGGAAGTACACTGGCAGCAATCTGACAGGACACCACTACCAGACAGAGCTTCCTCCTAAATATACATATGTTTTTAGGAATTAAAGGGAGGTAAATTTGAATCATAACCAAAAAAAGAGAAACACATTCGCATTTTATTTTCCCTAATGAAAACTGGTTTTCTACCAAAACAAAAAGCTTTGCAAAAAAATGCTCATTTTGGTCAAACTTTTTTTCTGGATTTTTCATGGAAAAAAAAAAAGATTAAATTCCTGAAATTTTCAATGTGAAAAGGTTTTAGTGAAAAAAATATCTTTTTCCTGATAAAACATTGTGTTTTTTCCCCATGAAAATTCTTCTAAAAACTCTCGTAAGATGTTGGTTGAAAATCTTTGTTTTCCACCTCTTTCTTGTTGAAATTTAATAATAATTTCCTCCAAAAAAACTGTAATTTTGCGTTCAGCTCTGTTTATAGCTGAATCAAGCTGCTTCCTCAGAATTTCCCAAGTTAGTCATCTTAGTTTCTGGCCTGTTAAGGCATGATGCACTAGCAGTTCCCACTGACGTTAACTGGAGTGAAAGGTGTTTTGTGTGTTTGAACCCTGCGGGTGAATCTCCGTTCTTCCATCTACCGATGAGTCCATCATAGAGCTCCTAGTGGGAGCACATGTCTCCTCACTTCAATCAGGAGCCCTGTCATGGTACCCCAGTCCTTTCCACGTCCACGAAAGCTATTGGAGAGTTGGGCTCCTACAGAGATGGACTCACTGCTCAAGTTGGATCTGTGGGCTACATTACTGGATAGTTAGCCCATGAGAGAGGGGGAAAAAAGGACATCTTCAGCTTTTCAGAATGGAAACAGGTAACTATTCTCATTGCTTGAAATTCAAAGCTAGGCAAAGGCCCAGCAAAGAGCCCAGGTACCACTCAAAAGTCCTACTTGCATCCTACGCTGAGGATCTACATGAGCCTTAACTTGGTACATAACATGGGACTCTCTGCTGGCCCATGGCAACATGTCATCACTGCATATATGTGCAGTGATATCCTATGCCAGGGCTCCTGGCATTGAGCACCAGCTGATGCTACTAGATCAGGCAGGTTATATTGCTACAGGCAGTTAGCTGCTAGGTTAAACAATGTCTCATCTCTGCCACCTGCCGACTCCAGCCTTCAATTTTACATCAAGTCAGTATGAAATTATTTTCAGATGTGGTTACTTCCTTCAGGTGTTATGGAACAAAAAGAAAAACCACGATTACTGGCAGTTATTATTTTAACCTCCTCACTCTTACAGATTTGCAATAACCTCTCATTAGAATTAGGGCCTGTGATGAGAAGTCATCTGCATGTAGCATGGCATTATGCCTGGACCAGACTTTTAAATTGATTCAATCCACATGGAAGCTGGTTTACTGCAGTTTTTGCCTGCAGGAAAAAATGAAAGCTTCAAAGCAGTTCAAGGTGTTGTACTGTGTGGTAGGTCCAACGTCTAACCAGTGCATGGCACTGAGAAGCAAAGTGGGAGCTTGCAGTCATAAAGCCCTAATGTGCGTCTCAGCACACAATATAACACATACTTAAGGGCTTCATTTCTTTTTTCCCTCTGTCCAGCTTAATTAAAACTTCATTGAGGTGAAAACCCACCATTTTTATTTTTTTTTAAATGTGTTTTAGCATGTGGTCCTGAAGGCCTCCTGTGCACAAATTTGCTTGGTTTTTAAATAAGTGGGCTGCAAAGAGACCTTATTTTCCAAGTTCTGGGGCGTCTTTATAACCTCATCCTTTTGCATTCCTTGAGAGAGTCCTTTCGAAGTACACACAGGATTATGGATCGTCTCTGTTGCCAAACCGCTTGTCTGCCAAAGAGGAAGTGATGGGATGCGCTTTTTTGGAACCATAGTCTGTCTGTCCATCACGTGTCAGTCTGGATATTAGTTGGATTCATTGTCTCTCCATGTTTCCCTTGTATTTCAGGTCTTCATGTGTGTCTCCTTAGTGGTAATCACCTTGGCAGCATGTGAAGCATTGTGTGTTGGCTCAGAGGCAGGAGAACTGGCTTCTGTGGCTTCTGCTTCTTGTTCTGCCATATACTTCCCTTTGCGACCTGCCTGTTTTAGGGGGCAGGTGTGAAATTTGGCAGGAATGCCTGGATCTGTGTTTTGGGGTCAGGTCCATCTCTTTCATCAGTATAGGTGTGGGTAATTGGGCATCTGCTCTTTTTGGAAGCCCAGAGTCATGGGATCCAGCCCCAACTATGACTTTTTGCTGCCATTGCAATTGTCAGGGAGCATGGGTGACTGGTATGAGAGTTTGATGAGTATGTCAATACATACACCCCCACCAATCAAGTAACGCAGTGACAGAGTATCATTGTAAGCCAGCCAAATAGCATGGAGGCTGTTGGAAAGACTCCAGCAGGTAAGGCTTAAGCTCAGTGTTGATACCAAAGCGATGAATCAGTGCATGAAGGCTACAGATACTCCCGTACTAGAAAGCTTCATCTCTTGTTTCTCACTGGAGCCATGGGCTACCCATTAAGAGCACAGTGATGCTTTTTCATGGCAGAAGGCACCAGATCTTTTTTTTTTTTAAGTTAGCTTGCTACTGACCTGTCTTTTCCTTTGAGACTAGCTGCATCACCTCATTTTTTTAATTTATTTATTTTTTGGTTTTATGCTCCATCAAAACTCAGTGAGCCAAAGTCTTCCCAGGTAGCACACCATCAGCCTGCCCTGGGATCTACTTGGCTCAGCTATTTAACTTCCCTGGCTGCGTGTCACCATTTTAATTGATTAACCGTTGCACAGGCTTGAACGTAATCCGAAGGATTTGTTTTGTCATCCCGTGCTAGCCTCTCCTTTCCCATAACCTGGGAGGTTGACCCTTCCTTCCTTATCTCTTTTTCCCTTTCCATCTCTCTCCTAGCTGATGCTTCTACCAGCCTTAACCTTGAGCACACAGCTCTCGCTAGAAAGCGATTCACATTACAAGGTCTTTCCAACCGCCGAGCTCCGCCCAAAGGTAAAATTGCCACATGCAGCATTTGGTCTCTGGCTGTCTATGTCCTGCTTGCAATCCCATGATGTTCTCTCCATCTCATTGTGCCATCCATCACTGCCTCCTACAGTGCTGCTGCATCCCATCACAGCACACTTGTCTGATACATGCACATGCTGCACTTCTCAAAGACTCTTCCACAAAAAGGCCTCATTGGGAGTATCAACAAAGGGGTGGTTGATGATGACACTTAGGCAAGTATAACTAACTAGGTCTGCAATAGTGATTTTTTTTTTTTTGCTTTTTGTCTTTCTGAAGTTCACAGCTGTAAAAGAATCCATTAAGCCAGACACACCTGCACGCACGCACACACAACTAAAATAATCCTTCTTTGACAGTGTATTGAGTGGGTGGAGGGGGGAGAGTCCAGCTACTGTGCACCATGCTGCTTTCTGGTTTGATATGCTAAGTTGTTCACTTTTGGCATCACTTGGTTGAAGGAGATTTGCTCAGGAATTGAGAAAATTTGGGGTAGTTCACTCAAGGAACTGTCATCAGGAGGTGTGCAACTTAGTCCTTGTTACCTTACTTAATCAGGTCATTTCTCTGTGGGCTTCCTTCTCTTCCTCCATAGAAGGGGGTGTTGTGAGTCTTAACTCACGAGTGCTTGGGAAAACTGTAAGATCTGAGGATAGAAGGTGCTATCTTAGGATTGCTGTGTCAGCAGGACACCTTGGAGGAAAAGAAGAGCAATATAGAGGAAAGATAATGAGCAATGAAGTCTGGGAGCAGTTGTCTGCCATGACAACAGTTTTCTTTTGTTTCATACGTGATGTTTTCTTTCTAGTTCCACCTTGTGGTCAGAGGTGAGGTGAGGGGTAATGGAGGATTATTATTACCATCAGGACAGGACAGATGTTGAGGCATAGAGAGACTCCAAGGAGAAGGACTGCATTTAAAGCAGGGGTGAGCAATTATTTTGGGCAGAGGGCCGCTTACTGAGTTTTGGCAAGCCATCAAGGGCCACATGACAGGCAGCCAGGGGCAGATAAATATTAATTTTCTAAATTTTGTAGGGGCCCCACGGGCTGGATAGAATGGCCTGGCAGGCCACATCTTGCCCATTCCGATTTAAAGTGTATCGGAGTAGAAGAGACCTCATGAAGAACTGAAGCAACCTCCTAGCTTTTATGCAGGGCCGAAGCAGCAGGAGAGGCAGGGTGCAGGCCACAGGGCCCAGTTCTGGACTTTTGGGGCAGGAAGGATGGTGGTTTGGAGATCTCAAGAAGCTGGCCGCATGTGTAGAGCGTGTGGCTCCATTGCAACAGCTGTGCTGGCTGGGTACATAATGTCCTTTGGGAGGCACTGGCTGTTAAAGGGCACATCGCCATGTACTTACCCTTGGTTTCTGTCACTTGTAGAGCTGACATTGCTCTGGCTGCAGAGCAAGGGGCACCTGCTGCCCAGGGGGGCGGGGAGTGTGGATGCCCGGTTCTGCCAGCAATACCATGCAGTGCAGACTGGACCTCATCCTTTGTGAGATCCTTCTTCTCTTCCTGCCCTGAGAATCCTGTGTTTTGGGCAGAGCCATGGAGCCAGACTCCCTGTACAACAGTGCTATCCTGGGGGAGCACATGAATTATTAGGCCCTTGCCCCTTGGAAGTGCATAGAGCTCTTAACTTCCACTGGGTGCATCTACATGAGACACTAAGGCACAGTGGACTAATTCCACTGTTCATTAGCGTGGCAGGCAAAAACTGTGCTAATGTGCTAAAGCGCAGTAGGATTAATCTACTGCACATTAGCATCACAAAAAAGCATGCACCACTTCTACTGTGCAGTAGCACTGATTATGACACATTAAATTTAGTACCTGTTACTACTGGGCATTTATACACATACATTTGTCTGCTCTGATGTGCTGGATCTCCAGCGTGTTGGACCAGACTCGATTAATCTGTCATGATTAATGACAGATGATAATCATGCAATTAATTGCATGTGAGCTGACACACCTGGCACTGCATCCCATGCTTTTGTATAAATAGTGAAATGCATTTCAGCGCTAAGACAATGGCAGTGGTACACGTTTGAGCTAAAACACCTTTGATGTGTTTTAGTTCAAAAGCGCGCTGCCGCCATTTTCTCAGCTTTTAAAAGTGCCCCGTGCTGCGACACAAGCTTGTGTACAAATGCCCACAGGTACTAAACTTATTGCAGCATAATAACGGTGCATTAATGAACGTGTAGACACTCCCACTGACTTGCAACGTCAGGTTCTTACATGATCATTTGACGTAGATGAAATACATGCATCATGCAGGTGCTTACTACTTTCAGTGTGTTGGTCTGTTCAGTGATGAGTCACTCATTTAGATTTTGTGCTGGCATGGAAGAAAGCCAAAGTGGTGACTGCAGTGTATCTAAGATGTGAGGAGGTCCAGTTGACTGCTGCCAGCCCTCTGTGTAGCAATGACTTCTAACTGCATTACCACTGTCAAGAAGGGCTCATCATGAGCTGCAAAAGGAGAAGTTTGAGCTAAGACAGTGACAAGGTTAGACTGGAACAGCCATTCCTGCACAGACACCTTTGCTGAACCCACACCATGAACACAGGTCCTGGATAGAAAACTCCTATTTAAGAAAAAATAGCTATTTTAGCCTTGACCTCTTTCTCCAATTCAAAACTCCCAGGGAAGTCAATGACTGTTGTGATCTTTTAAAGTCATCTGGTATGTGTCCAAAAGGAGGTGCTGCGCTTGGGTGAGAAAAACCAACATCCTATACTCGATCCATGACCTGATAAAAGGAAATACTAAAGAAGAACTGCGGCTGGAAAAAGATGTCACCTTTGTGCCATAACAATTTTTATGGTGGCACAAAGCAGAAGTAAATAGATTCCCATGCCCTTTGCTGCAACACAAGTGCCTTTACTTGTGCCTGCAACAAAAGATAGTAATAATTCATGCTGCATTATCATGGCAGACATCTATTTGTTCTTTGGCAAGAGAGCATGGGCAGCCTGGAGCTGCCTGCACCCTTCAGCTGCCCCAGGCAGGTGCTTCTGGAGCTTGAGGGGCCGAAACCAGCACCTCATAAATTCCCACAAGCCCTGGGAGTGCCTAGACAGCTTTCCCCTCTTGCCAAGATGCACCCCCAAGGTTTCCCCAGGTGTTTCTCTGTACGAGGGGAACCTCGGCTTTCCCTGCTGCCAGAGAAGCACCCTGGAGATTCCCAAGGGTGCGCCTCTGTAAGCAGGGAGCACATTGCCTCTTGTCCTGCATATGATCAAGAGGCAGGACAATAAGCAACATGCGTTTCATCCAGTGTGCTGAGACATCCAGGCACAGCTAGTCTGCTTCATTTGGCAACATCTATTTATCCCCTATTTATAGACCATAGCTGAGAAGTGGAAATTTGAATGACTGTTCCTGATTCTGCTCTCAGGTGCAGCAGCATAAGCATGGAGTGACTCCAGCACACTTGTGTGTTGTAACTGTCAGCGGCGCTCTGCCTGTTCTTTATGTTAAAAGCTTGAGCTCAAAATCTTTGCACCAGCAAGGTCCAAGGACACCCCTGAAATGGCTTGGAAATCTACTTGGAAACCATGGCTCCAAGTAGATTTACCCACACACCTGCTTGTGGAGTGGAACAGCTGTCTGAGGATTCGTTGCATGTTTGAAATATCACCTGCCTTGTGGCACTGTCCAGATGCACATCTGGATTTAGTTCAGATGTATCTTTCATCACATGTAGAGCTACTAGTCTGGGGTAAGTGGGGGCAGCTCGCAAGGACATCGCTGCAAGTTGTGTCTTTATTTTAGAATGGAGATACCAAAAGGACCACCTTCTAGCTGGTGCAGTCGATACAGGCAGAAACGCCTAATTGTCTGCAATGGATCCACCTTAATTTACAACTGCTGAGGCTCTTGGCCCAGTTTTTTAGAAGTATGATGTCAGCTCACTCCTGAGAAGCACAGTCTAGCCCCTTGCCCCTCTGTCTTTGTATTTTTGGTGTGTCTCAGCTCAGAGGAAATGGTTCCAATATTTTTTCTTTCCACGTAACCCATCAGTCAGTCTGCGTCATGTAACTGCCACGCTCATCTGTGTTTTGCAGTCGTACAAACATTAGGTTAACACTAAAGCTTTACCTGACATTGGCTTCCCTCCTGCAGGGTCAAGGTTGGTATCACTGCAACTGCTTAAAAATATGTTTTTTCTGTGCATTTTGTTTTCCAGTATATCTGTGCCCCAGCATTTCTAAGGGGAGCAACTTAGTGGGGAGGGTTTGGGGTGGAACGGTTACCCTTTCTCAAATCCTGCTTTGCTTGGGACCTATATACCCTCCTCTGCTTCCTAAGCTCTAACCCTGCCATGTGCTGCATGTGTCTGTCCTCTCAGATGCAGAAGCTAAGGAGAGAGAAGTCACCCGCCGCTTTCCCCTAATTATTAAATATTTTATCTCTAACATTTATCTGTCCTTTTAACTGGGTTATCTCCCCTCAATGAATGTTTGCATGTTCACAGACTTGGCTGACTTGGGGTCCCATCACAAGTGTCTAGCACATGATCAATGCTAGGGTCTAAAGTATTGTTGCAATGCTAATAATAATAGTAATGATATAA